GATAATGATAATCCACCTATTATGGCTATCTTTTCTTCTTTAAACAAAAAGACAAATGAAGCCCAAAAAAAAAAAAAAGCATGAATGTGTTTCTTCAAAATTAAAAAAAAAAAATTTTTTGCCCAAAAAAAAAAAGAAAAGAAAAAGTAAAACATGAATATGCCTATCATTTGTATATTTAGAGTTCGAAGTTGAGGAACACCAATCTCTTCTTCTTCTTTTTTGTTTTTGGGGTTTTAATTCAAGGGAAATTCCAAAGAGGCAAAGTACCTAATTGGCTCTCAAACTCTTAAGTTTGTACACTTTTGGCCCGCTAACTATTATTTGCATATTTTTAGCCTTTCAACTTCTAAAAATGTATTTTTCTGACCTTTCTATCCATTTGAACTGCTATAGCTGTCTACAATTAAGAATTTTCTATACATTAGATATTTTTACTAGATTAATAAACTAAGAGATTTCTTCGCATATTTCTAAGGAATTGCTAGTTAATATTTAAACAAACATGTTTTAAGAACTAATATACATTAGTATGTTCAAGAGTTCAATTATATTATAATAGTTACCACTTCCTACAAAGTTGTGTGCATAATAGAACATTTTGATCGTTAATTAAGGTTAGGCAAAATGAGTCCAAGTCCTAGTCTTTTTCTCGAGAATTACATGTTTCGTAAGGAGAAATAATTGTAAAATGCATAGTATTAGAATTTTTTTTTTCTAAATCTTTACACTAAAATGTTTTTCTAAATTTTTTCTTAATTTTCACCTTGCCGTATAGTTTTTCTTTTTTCTTTTTTGGTGATATCCCTTGGCTTATGGAGTTGATTGATAAAGTTAGAAATAGAAGAAAGTCTGCAATGGCTATTGGACCTGTTGTTGATAATTTTTTTTTATACACCGTTAATGTATAATTTTTTTATATTAAAAGCATTAGATCAATGTTATAATTCAAATTTATGTACATGTGACGTACATTTAAAACTGCTAATGTAAAAAAGATTACTACGGTATTAGTATATATAAATTTAATACAACATAGAAATTCAACTCCCCGATATCTCCTACTATAAGGATTGTAAAAAGAGCAAATGTGAAACTAATTTCCAAACTAAAGGCGAAAGATTGAAGTTCCTTTATTTTTGGTTGGAGTTTCAACGCCTAGGTTGTGGTACATTTTCTTAGCATATGAAGGTGACTTCTAAACCTAGCCTAGAGGTGAACGAACAAGGCAGCTGCACGTAGGAAAGGCAAAAACGAAAGAACCAACCCGATTGCTGCAGGCTATGGACAAGTGAATTCGTATTGTATATTTGTATTCCAACCTATAAAGGAGAGGAAGCGACAAGCACGAAAAAAGAACCCAAAAAAACACAACACAGATTGCAGTGGAAGCAAATGAATGGTGGCATTAATTAAAGGATATAGGGTCTGAATCTGAATCTATCTGCTGCAGCTGCATCGTGAAGAAGACTGAGGGCTCAGCCTCAGAGCAGCAGAAGGCTACAAAGGACACGTGTGGAGAGACTGGAAAGGCTCAGAAAAGAAAGAAACGTTAAGCAGCGCAGAGTGACAGAGAAAGATAGACAAGAGTGTGTGAAATTGACATTCTGATGATTTGGAAGGCATAGAATTGATGTGCACGTGAATATGCTACTGTGCAATTGTCCTTTGATGTCTCCTTGCATTAATTTCTGTGAGGTGTGCACTCCCAGAATGGACCATACACCTCTGTATCCCAAGTATCCAACGTCTATAATTTGGAGCTTCGCTCACCAATCGTCTCCAGCCTCTTGGAAATTTTTTAGCACAAAATGCTCTATTGCTACACCAGAATCAGCCTCTTAAAACCACTGAATTTAGCTCACTTGCTATCAAGGTGTCTTAAGACTCTGCTTCAATTATAGGTGAGGATTTAAATTTCACTTGCAGTAAAAAAAAATTTAAGAATTGTATTAAAACACTCTTTTAATCTAATAACTAATTCCTAACACCACCTCTTTAGACTCCCTCTTCACTGTAGTTTATGATAGATAGGTTATATAATAGTTATCGTCTTCAAAAAAAAAAAGAAAAGAAATCAGCCTCTTAAGAAGCAGATATTTTATATGTTATGTCAATGCTTATCAAATTAACATTGCACCCCGAGCTTACTGTAAAATGTCCTAACAGACTGCTACTAGTATTATAACAATAATCTTCGATGTGTAAAGGAATGTGTGTGAAGAGATGTACTTAAAGCATGGAGGGATTGAGTTGATCCTGCACATTTTAGCCTACTTAAGTTCCTGTTGGACCTCATTAACTCTACATGGGGGAAAAACAGAAATGTCATGGACAATCCATTTTGAGATTTATAAAATATAGTCCAATAATGATTAGGAGGAGCCTCTTAGAGTTTTTCTCGTACATTAGATCAGGGTTCAAACCATATCTAATGCATTGCAAGGAAGCACAATTCAGTCTCCGTACAAGTCCATTGAACTCCCCCTCAATTCAAGGAGTTTTCTGTATGTATGTAAAGTCAATTCTAGTCTCTAACAAGAGATGCATTATAAACCACCCTATTTCCCCCTTCTCAATAATGTTCTTCCCATTTGTTAAGGAAAGCAACAAAATGGTTGGATAACATGGCAAACATTGAAACCTTACTGTAGCATGATCCGGATTGACAAGTGAATTTTTTGAATAATTATATAAAATTTTACTGTAACTTACTGTATAAATTTTTAAAAAAATTTTTGAAATGTGTTTTTTAATATTTTAAAGTGTATAAGTTAAAAACTTTAAAAAATTTTTGGAGATTACTGTAACTAAAGTTTTTAAAAAACTTGTAGCAGATAAACTTGACAAAAAATTTATCTGCCAAACAAGCACATTGTGTGCTTAAATGCTTATCAGACGACTGGAAAAAGGTTTTTAAACAGTCATTCCAACCAATGATTTTCTCATTGATTACTAACTCACACCAACCAGCCCTATTCACATCACTTGAAAATATAAAAATGTGTAATGAATTTCCAATGGTCCTTGGTCTACAAAGTTTTTTTTTTTTTTAAACTCGGAACATACCCCGATCTGAACTGGCACATCAAATCAGAAGGAAGCCGATAGCTTCATACAGTTTAGGGTTGTAATCGAGTCGAGTCGAGCTCGAGTATCTCCATACTCGAGCTCAAGCTCAAGCGAGTAGTATTATTGGAGCTCGAGCGAGTAATATTATTGGAGCTCGAGCTCGAGCTCGAAGCTTGCTCGCAGTACTCGAGCTCGACTCGCATGGGCTCGAATCCATTCGAGCCTTATCGAGTTCGCTCGAGCTCGTTCGAGCTCGAGTTATTAAATTTTATTTTCTTAATATTTTTAAGCAAAAAGATATTATTGCCCTTTTAAAAATTTTATATGACTTGAAACATTTCGTAAATTCGACAATTCTTTTGGGTATAAGGGTAAATTTATAATAATAATATATTAAATAATTAAAATTAAAAATATTAAATAATTAAAATCAAAATGCTCGATAAGACTCGTCGAGCCTTCGAGCATCGCTTCTGGATGCTCGAACTCGACAGCCTTATCAAGCTGCTCGAACTCGACTCGAACGCGGTTTGACCGAGTTCGAGTCAAGCTTTTGACCGAACTACTCGCGAGCAGCTCGGTTCGATTACATCCCTAATATAGCCAGAAGAGCAGCTCGGTTCGATTACATCCCTAATATAGCTTTTCTGGATGAGTCAAGATGTGAATCAAATCAGAGAAAAGCCAATAGCCTCATATAGCTTTTTCAAACGAGTCAAGATGTACAGCGCAGCGGGCACGAATCGAACCCGATCAATAAAAAAGCCAGTAATTCAAGGCTGATCCCTCAATTAATGCGCCATATGCCTTGGGGCTTGGTCTACAGAGTTTAATTGATGGCCAAGCATTATGTTGCAGCACTACTTGCGCTTCCATCTTTTCTTGACGATCACATCAGTAGGCGTTCTTGGGCATCAAGGCATGCTGACCAGGAAAACTTTTGGCTGTTTGACTAGCTGCCCACCATTTCTTTTTGACTCTGCAGAAGCCCAAGCATGATCCAAAGAAGGCTACGGCATGTATGATCATATATGCCTCCACTCGTCCACGTAATTAATTAACTAATTAATTTCAAGTCTATGATCCCAACCAATGAATAATGTCCTGCAAAAAATTTCTAGTTGCTGCACTACGAAATTGGCCGGAGAAGTTCTACTCAATTCGGGCCATTGATCTTAATTAAAATCTTGAGTCGGGAAGAAACATTTTTTTTCTTAATTTAACCTATGATTCTGTGTAACAATTGAGAGAAGCAAACTGAAAAAATGTGAAACACAAATGAAAAGTGGTAAAAATGAACAAAAAAAAGTCAACTAAATAATTGTCTCAATTAGGGGTGTAATCGAGTCGAGTCGAGCTCGAGTATAGCACCAAAGCTCGAACTCGACTCGAGCTCGAGCGAGCCCAAAAAATCGATACTCGAGACTCAACTCGAAAAATTTCCTTTAGGCTCGAGGCTTGACTCGATACTCGAGACTCGAAAATTTTTTTCATTTTAGGTCTTTTTACAATTATGTTATTACTTTTTTGCTATTATAGGATTTTATTATAAAGAATGATATATTGTAAATTTCATATAACTTATACCCATAATGGTCATTTTATAATTATAATACATATATATTATTTAAATTATAAATATATTATTTAAATAACTCCGGCTCGTCGAGCTACTCGACTCGACTCGAGCTGGGCTATTTCGACTCGAAACTCGACTCGATTTTCATTTGAGCTACTCGAAACTCGACTCGAACTCGGCCGAGTTTCGAGTAGCTCGCGAGCAGCTCGGTTCGCGTACATCCCTAGTCTCAATGGAAGGAAAGGTGCCAAAATTTCATGCAATGCAATTGGCTTACATGTCCCATCAGTCCAATTCACAACAAATCACAGCCACCACTTTAACTTCTTCTCCAATCCTTTTTAATCTTTTCAGTTCAGTCGCTAGCTATGTGCAACAGAACTCCATAAATTGAATGAAGCAGTGAGCAAAGCTCAGTAGCATCCAAAGCTGCAGCCATCGGGAAATAAATCAGCTCCTTGGAAGCATTCAATTTTATGGCCATATTGGCTTCCTTTTCGGCTCTTTTAGCTTCCTTTTGTGCCCTAAAACTTGTCTTTTCTCTTTGGTGGAAGCCCAAAATTAAAGAGAAGCAGCTGAAGCAGCAGGGAATCGGAGGAACCTCTTACAATTTTCTTTTTGGAGACAAGCCAGTTAGCAAGAAGCTGATGATAGAAGCATGGGCCATCCCCATGTCTTTAAACCACGAGATTGTCCCACGTGTCGACCCTTCCCTTCATCAAATTGTGCAAACATACGGTCTGATCAACTTTTTTCCACTCTTGGATTCTTCTTCCGTCTTGTTTTCCCTAATCATTAAGTACTTAAAGTTTCTCTAGCCCCTTAGGAGTAACTTTTCATGGATCTTCCCATTTCAACACCCAAGAATTTACTATAAGAGAGAACAAATCTAGAAGGTATTATATGATACACAACCTTATAGATAATGCGACACAAATCTGGATATATAAAACTAAGGATATTATTCTGTGTTTAAAAGGAATAAATGACAATTAATTTACATAGACAGTTATGAGGTGTGAAACTTTTTAGTTATTTGCATGCTAAATCTTGTGTGGACAAGAAGTTGAAATGCACTTTAGCATGTTATTACAAGCTCGACAATTACATCTGCCAAGAAAAATAAAAACTATGGCTCCATTGAATTGTGATTAATGGTGGCTTGGTTTGCTAAAATAGGAAAAGTGTGCTTGAGTTGGACTGGAACAAGGCCGAGACTGATAATGGGGAAGGCAGAGCTGATAAGGCTGATACTGAACGACAAGGATGGTCACTTCCAAAAGCCTCCACAGAACCCTCTTGTGGACCTTTTAACGCTGGGAGTCTCAACCTTGGAAGGAGAGAAATGGGCCAAGCGTAGAAGGTTAATTACTCCTGCATTCCACCATGAGAAGCTGCAGGTAATCCCTGCTTTCTACTAGATTACTGTAGAATTTTTCTGATTTTTTCTGTCCCACTGCAGTGTAAGTAATGCTTCGTGGAATGCTTCATATCTTATTCTGGTAGGCTTTTGGCTATTTAGTTGGTGTCTTATAGACCAATGGTCGGAAGAGCAGGGCAGACAATTCCTTTTTAGTACATTTGACCAAAAAGAAGGGGGGGAAAAAAAGAACCCTTCCAGGATTTATCAAAGACATTCAAAGATCTTTCGAGAAAAGAATGTGAAACAAAACTCAGCATTCTTTAATTAAATGCGTTGCAATAAAAAGAACATTTCTGAGGTCAACAAGTTATGATAAGGAAGAGCAAAAGTGCATTTTCTTGATTAAGTTGCATGCCTAAACTGTTAATATAAGTGAGCTTCATCCCTATGTACTTATGACTTAAAGAAAGCAGGGAATGGTGCCAGAGTTTTTAGCAAGTTGCTGCAATCTGATTGATCGATGGACGATGTTGCTCGCATCTGATGGACGGAGCGAAATTGATATCAGTCCTGAACTGCAGAGCCTTTCTGCAGATGTGATTTCTAGAGCAGCCTTTGGAAGCAGCTATATAGAAGGGAAGAAGATATTTGAACTTCAAAAAGAGCAAGCAGTGCTGGTACTTGAAGCATTTCAAGCTTTGTACCTCCCAGGACTCAGGTAGATTTCCATTTGTAAGCTCAAAAGAGACAACTAAAAATTATTAGTTCGTCTTCAATGTTATAGGTAAGAATTTTTAATTTAGTAACCGGACTAAACATTTTTAGCATTATACAGGTTTCTACCAACTAAGAAGAATAAACGGAGATATGAGGTGGATGCAGAGATAAAAGCAATGTTAAGAGATATAATTTGCAAGAAGCAAAAGGCAATGCAAAATGGAGAATCAGGTAATGGTGATCTACTTGGGTTGCTGTTGCAATGCAAAGAAGAAAAGGGAAATGAGATGACAATTGAAGATGTAATAGAGGAGTGCAAGCTGTTCTACTTTGCTGGCCAAGAGACCACTGCTAACTGGCTTACATGGACCCTCATCGTGTTGTCCATGCATCCGGACTGGCAAGAGAAGGCCAGGCAAGAAGTTCTCCGTATTTGTGGAAAGACAGCCCCTGATGTGGAAATTTTGAACAGGCTCAAAATTGTAAGTATGAATTTGTTGTTAACCGATTTTTTTTGCAATACCCATACATAATACTATCACGTAAGATTTGCTTATTGTGTTTATGAATCCATGACTAATGAGGGGGAAATTGTTTTTGTAGGTCACGATGGTGTTGTTTGAAGTCCTAAGATTATATCCACCAGTGACTGGCCTGTTTCGATATACCATCCAAAGAACTAAGGTAGGGGATATTTCCATCCCTGCAGGGGTTGAAGTTTATCTACCAATTATGCTGTTGCATCATGATTCTGAGTACTGGGGAGATGATGCAGAAGAGTTTAAACCAGAGAGGTTTGCTGAAGGAGTTTCAAAGGCATCAAAGGATCAATTGGCATTTTATCCCTTTGGCTGGGGACCAAGAATTTGCTTAGGCCAAAGCTTTGCAATCATAGAAGCAAAATTGGCTCTGGCCATGATTTTGCAGAACTTTTCATTCAAGCTATCACCTTCATATACTCATGCCCCCCATACCATAATAACTCTCCAGCCACAGCATGGGGCTCCAATTATATTCCAACAGATATAAAGATTTTATGTCCAGATAGGAATGAAGAAATTTCTCTTTTTTCTACAAGAATGTCACCAATTCCATGAACTGTGTGGCACACGGATCTTCTGTAGACCTGGTATTTACTGATATTGCTAAGAATGCAAAAAAAAAAAAAAAGGTGGAAATTGGACAGTAATTGCTGTTTTACTTTGACCTTCAATGGAAAAGTCTTTTGTATCCTTGCACAATTACTTGTATCGTTTGTAGAATAGTTAACGTTAATAGATCTAACTAACTGTGCAAGTGTTTAATAGATTTGAAGTAGATGCTTGGTTGATTTAAAATTTTGCCATAAACCATCACAGAGGCTGGAACATCGAAAACAAGTTTGGGGTTTAAGTCAAATATTTTAGACAAGTCCAAAAAACAAACTGGAATATGCCCAATCGGCCACCAAATTAAAGTTAACTGATGAGGCCTGTCAATTCCATCCACAATAAGTTTCTTGGTTAGGTTGCTACTTTTGAAAACAACCCAAAGTAACTCTGCATTAATTGCAGCTCGTAGCCCATCGTCCATGACAATTGCAGCTGCACACCCGGCAACCAAGCTTATAGTCTTTCCATAAAAGGAAACCAAGCAGCATGGAAGGATCTATACCGAAGGCTTTAGCTTTCTGCTGGGCTCTTTTGTTGTCCATCTTTTTCATAATAGTAAAACTTTTGTGCAATCTCTGGTGGAAACCCAAAAGCCTAGAGAAACAATTAAAGCAGGGAGGGATTAGAGGAACCTCTTACAAGCTTCTCTATGAAGACAAGATGGTTATATATGAAGAAGTTGATAGTTCCACGGGTCAACCCCTTCCTTCATCAAATGGTCCAAATTCTTCAATCTTTTTTTTTTTGTACCATCTTTCTTTTGTCATCAACATGTTCAATTCTCAAGCCTCTCATTCTTGATGGATGCTTCCTTTCACGCACGCACGTAAGAACTTAGATTCACCTTACTGTATACTTACAAAACAGTTGGTAGTCGGGTTCGAGATTGACTCTGGATTTATCGGGCCAATGTGGTCGCTGGACAAAAAAAGTAAGCAGTCTTATTGAAAATTGGCATTAGTAGCTGTTGATTAAAGTGTCGTTTGTCCTTTACAGCAAAAAGGCATAGGAATTGTAGTTATCGTAAATAATTTTGGAAAGCTGGAATATTGGAAATCATGAGAATTGTGGCTTGTGAGCTATACTATACAAGTACATAGTGATGGTACTACTGATGGTGGCTTTGGCGTTTTGCTCAAATAGGGAAAATATGCATGTGTTGGATTGATAATAGGGAGGGCAGAATTGATCAGGCTGATACTCAGTGACAAGATGGTCACTTGCAAAAGCCACCACAGAACCCTCTTGTGGATATTTTGACGCTGGGAGTCTCAACCTTGGAAGGAGAGAAATGGACCACACGTAGAAGAGTAATCAATCCTGCATTCCATAATGAGAAAATTCAGGCAATGTCTGCTCTATAAGTCTAGTACATTTTTGCCAACAAATATGGACAATCCCTTGATCCAAATTGTCTTTTGTTGAAATGAATTTGGTATGATCAAGAGCAAAAATGTTTCAATTGTCAAGTAAAAAATCTTTAAATTTCTTTCTATCTATGTGATATCACAGCGAAGATCTCGTTTTGGTTTGATACTTACCAATGGCTAGACATGCAAGTTCAAGTTATCTTACATGCAGTAAATATTTGGCTTATCTATTCTTGTCTTGCATACCTAATTTCTAGAAGAAACTACGTAAGCATAAATTTCTTGTGCTTCAAATCAATTTAAATGGGATCTTTCCCTTCTGGATATAGCTAAGGCTTTGGATGATCTCTTGAAAAAATATGTTACCTTTTAATGAAAAGATGCATTTCTGCGTCGGACTCAGAATGTCTTTAAATCAAAGGCACAAGAAGTCGAGCACGACCCAAAATAGAAAGAAGAATATAACTACAGAATCATCCTGAAAGCTAAAGTTACATTTATAAATTGATTGATCTAATGAACTTCAAAGCAATTGTGCTAATGACTTTGAAGAAAACTGGGAATGGTACCGGAAATTTTTTGCAAGTTGATGGGTGGAAGAAGTCAGTTCCTTCAGATGGATCGAGTGAAATTGATATTAATCCAGAAGTACAGAGTCATTTTGCAGATGTGATTGCTAGGACAGCATTTGGAAGGAGCTATAGAGAAGGAAAGAAGATAATCGAACTTCGGGGTTCAGAAAGAACAAGCTGTACTGATTAATGAAGCATTTCAGGCATTTTACCTCCCAGGTTTCAGGTAGAATTCGATTCACAAACAAGAGATGAACATTCAATTTGCAAACTTAATTTTCTTTTATTGAGTGGGGAATTTTTAAAAGATTGAAGCCAAGCAGATGGATACATTTTTAGAAAAAATACAGAGTTGCTATTCAGCAAAACTATTTTACTTGGCAAATTAATTTCAACCAGCTCCAAATCTGACTGAATGGATAAACAGATTCTTCGTATAGATTTCTTCCAAGAAGAATAGAAGGAGATACGAATTGGATGCCCAGATCAAAGCAATGTTAAGAGATGTAACTTGTAAGAAACAGAAGGCAACGCAAAAGGGAGAATCAAGAAATGGTGATCTACTAGGTCTGCTGTTGCAATGCAAAGAACAACAGGGTAGTGATGGCAATAGAAGATGCAATAGAGGAGTGCAAGCTGTTCTACTATGTTGGCCAAGAAACCACAGCTAACTGGCTTACAGGCAGGCACGAGAAGGCCAGACAAGAGATAGCGCAGATTCTTGGAAAAGCAGAACCTGATGTTGAAATCTTAAACCGGCTGAAAATTGTGAGTACGGATTTGTCAAATAATTGAACCTTCTTATTATCATTGCCAGTTTGGTTGCCACGTACTGGCAAATGTTCTCTTATGCCATATAATTTTCTTGTCATCTCTTATCTTGCAATCAAGTGGGGAAGAACTGTTCGATGCATGTATGTGGCGGATAAAGAATTCAAATGGACGCAAACTGACTCAAAATCAGACGAAAAGAGAAAGAGTTGTTTCATTTATGAAGCTTGCAATTAGAATTGAGTAAATGGTGTTTTACTCTATATTGGTACTGAGTTCCACGCCCTGGCATGAGGGATCCTTTCTCAACCTGGGAGCGTAATGTGCTATTTGTCTATTACTAAAAATTGCTAAACCAAATTGAGTCTAGAGTGCTATTCTTTTCAACCAGATTACACTAGCATCAAACCATGGGGGAAAAACAGAAATGTCATGGACAATCCATTTTGAGATTTATAAAATGTAGTCCAATAATGATTAGGAGGAGCCTCTTAGAGTTTTTCTCGTACATTAGATCAGGGTTCAAACCATATCTAATGCATTGCAAGGAAGCACAATTCAGTCTCCGTACAAGTCCAATTGAACTCCCCCTCAATTCAAGGAGTTTTCTGTATGTATGTAAAGTCAATTCTAGTCTCTAACAAGAGATGCATTATAAACCACCCTATTTCCCCCTTCTGAATAATTTTCTTCCCATTTGTTAAGGAAAGCAACAAAATGGTTGGATAACATGGCAAACATTGAAACCTTGCTGTAGCATGACCCGGATTGACAAGTGAATTTTTTGAATATTTATATACTTCCTTCGTCCCACTTTGAAAGTCTTGTTTTCCTTTTTCATCAGTCTCAAATTGTAGTCCACTTTTCCATTAAGAAATGTAGTAATATTTTAAATTATCTAAAATACCTTTATTAAATATCTTGTTATTAATACATTGTTATTAACTACTAACCCACTACATTGAATACATTGAGTTTTTCCAATACTAATCCATTAGCTGTAACTGATATTAATTGGCACTCTTCGTGATTAGCATAAGGGTATTTTAGGAAATTATTAATCTAAATTTATGTTTCCAACCAAATTAATTACACTTCTTAATCTGTGTGAAAAAAAATCAAAACTAACAAAACGGGACGGAGGGAATAAAATTTTATTGTAACTTACTGTATAAGTTTTTTAAAAAATTTTTAAAGTGTGTTTTTTTAATATTTTAAAGTGTATAAGTTAAAAACTTTAAAAAGTTTTTGGAGATTACTGTAACTAAGGGCTTGTTTGGAACCTGAGTTTTTTGGGAGTTTGTCTAAAACTTTACTATAGTACACTGTAGAAGTTTTTGAAAAAATTTGTGTAAAATTTTTTGTAAGGTGAAAAATTTTTTTGTAGAAGTTTTTAAGAGGAAAAGCTTTTTTTTTTTATTTTTCTCTTTCTCTTTTCTTTTTCTTTTTCTTTCTTTTCTTTTTCTTTTCTTTCTTCTCTTCTTCTTCTTCTCCCTTCCCTTCCCCCTTCCCCGTTACCAGCCCCCCTCCCCGCAGCAACGCAGCACCCCCTACCCCTCCCCCTCCCTCTGCCGTCACCCTTCCTCTCCCCTCCCTCTGCCGTCACCCTTCCTCTCCCCTTCCCTCTCCCTCCCATTCCCCTTCCCCTTCTTTCCCCTGCCACTCCTCTTCTCCCTCCCCCGCCACCCCCCTCTGCTCTCCATCCCTTTTCCTCCACTCTCCTTGCCACCCGCCACCCATATTCCTCCCCTCTCCCCCGCCACCCGCCACCCCTTTTCCTCTCCCGTTTCCTCCGCCCGTCACCTCTTCTCCTCCCCTCTCCGCCGCCGCTCTTCTCCCTCTGCCCCGCCAACCCCCTCTGCCCGCCACCTCCTTTTTCTCCTCTCCTCATCTATCCCCGTCACCCTCAGCAGCCCCGTCGCCCTCGAGCGAACAGATCGCAGCTCCCCTCCCCTCCACTTTTGCGATCTGGTCATGGGACCAGATCTGGTCGCTGGAGGGGGAGGGTTGCGGGGGACACAAAAAAAAAAAAGAGGAAAGCAGTCAAATTGGGTAAAGGAGGAGGATGGCAGGGAGAGGGAGAAAGGCAAAAAAAAAAAAAGAAAATGGCGCCGGAGGTGGTGGTGGTCGGCGACGGAGGTAGTGGACTGGGTTGGGATGGTAGAGGAAGAAGAAAGCCAAAGGAAAGGGAATTTTTTTTATGTGTGTTTTGTGTATTGGGTTGGGATGGTGGAGGAATTTGTGTGTGTTTTGTGTATTTTGAAGTGTATAGGTAAAAAATTTTGAGAAGTTTTTTGGGTTCCTGTAGCAAAAGTTGTTAAAAAACTTGTAGGTAAAAAACTTGCCCAAAAAACTAGCTTCCAAACAGGGCCCTAGT